ATTCACACCCATGATTAAATTTACACCCCGGATATAATTTCTTAAAGAACATTATATATATATATATATATATATATATATATATATATATATAAGATTGTATAGCTTGAAACTGAATTCGTTGTAAAGAATCTTTTCGTTGAATAATTTGTTCTTCATGTTAAAATAAGAATAATTAAATTATTGAAAATAATTCTTGTGTACCATTATTAATAATGACAACCAAAATAATTACCACATATTAGCTTTTTTGACTTAATTCCTGAATTGATCAACTTGAATTATTCTAGGCAGTATATTATCCTTATTTTTATTCTTGAAACTTTGTTTTTACAAACAGACTGGCCTCTTCAGCAGCAGCCACCTCAAAAGATGCACTTAAAAATAAAGATAACTTTCCTGGACCGGGAGCATACAATGTATCGTCAGATATAATATCAAAACATTTTATGTCGAGTTCAGTCTTCTTATCTAATGTACCACGCTGGATAATGCCAAATGTTCCAGTTGCTTTGGGTATTGGTGATATGGTGGTGAGTGGTGCATCACTAACTTGTGCTGGTGGAATTGACGCTTTACATAATCCAGGACCAACCAAGTATAATCCAATCCTGCCACAAAAAATGTCATTTCACTATAATGTGAACAATGAATGGGTATACTGAAAAAAAGACAGTCTTCTTAATGAATATATTTATTATTCCCTGTTCGTTGAGGCTTATTCAGCATAACTTTTAAAATTCCTCTTTAACATAAAACGTCGATGAAGACTGTTATTCAGGTGTGGAAGTAGGTGGTACATGGATAGAAATTGTAATCAAAGAAGTATTTTATTTATTTGCTGTTAGCGTCTTCATTCTATCATCTCTTTTATTTGTATTGCATCAATCGGTAGCTGTGCAAGTAGGCTTTATAAATCTTCGTTTGAGTATGTATAGGAGGAGGTATATGTCTGCAAAGCAGACAGTAAAACACGAATCAGTCGTAAATCAAACACTACTATGCACATATCCACATTTAGATTATTCATATGATCACAAGTAATAGAGGAATGAAATTTCTTCATTCAGGCCACATTCAAACATTAGGAGATGTATAAAAAATATGGACATCTCTATTTCAATGAATAATATAAAGATTAATGGGAGAATATTTCACTAATAGTCGTTTTAAGATTTATATCTACATATAACCTGTAAAACAGATATCAAAAGCTACTGTTGACAATGGCTGTTCTGATAATCATCCAGATACATGCAACTCTAGAGGTAATAAAGGACAATCCCATAGAGAAATATTTTCGCAAAGGAATATCCAACTATATTTCAGCCTAATGGATGTGCAAACATAATAAATGAGGTTTATGCTAGGCGCCTACTTGAATTTAATTACGTTCTTATAGTGAGAAGGCTTTCTATGAATACATAAAAAGGAAAATATTGGAGCAGAATAACATCGATCCACTTTAATTTTGACGACTGTCTGCCACTGCGTACAGTCAATAATATTTGTTTTTATATTATGATAAGATGTTTAGCACGCTGTACGTCGGTAAGAGAACCAAACGTCTTATAAAAAAGAATATGTTAAGGATAGAAATATGGATAAAGTGTGAAACAAAGGTGTAGATAAGTGTATGATTTCTTGATAATCAGAATTCAATTTACGAGCTTACTGAACACTGATATCTGACTCCTTTTAATAACATTGATTATGCTTCAATTAGTTGACTGCTATAACCTTAGCAAGCCAAAGAAAACCAAAGTTTCTTCGTTTGTTTATTATTCTGAATCCTTCTAAAGTATTTATTTGGTGTCAGGTGTTCCTACCACTTACCCAGACATGGACCTAGTCAGACCATTCATTCTGTTCGGACAGAAGCTAGAAAATATTGCCACAGTTTAATTTGTATAACTCTGTTGGTTTTAATTCTTCACGTGATAACCGTTTGAGAATTCGCGTTCCAAAATTCACACACTCTCCATTTCATACAAATGTTTCTTCATTGTGAATGTGTTTCATTTTATGAAAGATGTAATAGAAGTTACTAAGACGAAACCACATCCAACCGAATACCAGAACACTCAGACGACACACACGAAACGATATCGATTCTATTCAATCACACTTTCTCGAGGTATAACGAAATGTCTACTCAAGAGCTCATGTAGTCGCAGACTAAAATCAAGAAACACGCCATTCTTTCGAAGAATTTGCACAACAAGTCACTCAGAAAGAATGTAACAAGACTAAAGCAGATCTGCTCAAAAACCTATGGCCTACAATTAATACCAAATCTCCGTTCCCAAGCAATCCAGAAAAGTACGTATTCAGTCTCTCAAACATCACACTGTCTACTACTATTCAACTAGGGGCACTATCTCTAGGTCCAAAATTCTGCATAAAACCACCAAGTATTGACATGCTACAATGCCAAGTTCAGTTCAAAAATCTCATCAACCAAACTTACGATCTCACACCTGCATCAGATGAAAACCTGCAACAATTTAAAGTACCAATCCTCGACTGTTGTCACAAGTTTATAAATACCAAACCCAACGGAAGGTCCATTTTAACTAAGAGACATTATAAGGAGCTGAAAGGACTTATGAAAAACGAAGAGATTATGATGTTACGTCCTGATAAAGGCGGAGGAATCGTAATCATGAATCGCGCGAACTATATCAGTAAAATGCTGACTATACTATCCGACGAATGCAAATTCACAAAACCGGTCAACGAGAAAAATATGACTGAACTGACCGAACAAAAGCTAACGGACACCCTCGGTGAAATAAAGACGTAATCTTTCATCAGCAACGAAACGTTTGAATCCCTAAGACCATCTTGCTCAAATATACCACGACTTTACGGACTCCCGAAAGTACACAAGAAGGATACCCCTCTTCATCCAACCTCGACATGATCAATTCGCCTTATCATTGTACAGCGAAATGGTTAACAGATCTACTAGAACCAAACAGAAGATAAGTTTCCTGCCACACATTTCGAGATTCATTTGACTTTATCGACTCAATCGAAAACATCAACGTATCGGACAGGACTATGATTTCATTAGATGTCACTTCATTGTTCATAAACGTCCCACGTATTGAAACAATATGCTATATATGCGCACTTATTAACTCAAAGGGAATAAACATCAGTATACCCATCGAGCGTGTTAAAGAACTCCTACAGAGATGTACCTTGAATGTTCAATACTCTTTTAACAACGAAATATATCGCCAAAAGGATGGTATAGTTATGGGCTCACAACTTGGCCTATTGCTTGCAGATTTCTTCATGACAAAACTCATAAACACATACTTAAAGAAAATGATCAATACCTTCGAACTCTACAAGAAATACGTTGACGACACTTTCATTATCGTCAACAATGAAGAAAATCGAGACATCTTAAACTCCTTTAACAACTGCCACCCCGTGATTCATTTCACGTTAGAGAAAGAGTCTAACTGAAAAATATCCTCTCTTGACGTTCAACTAACAGGGCGATAACAAGACGGAACACTGAAAATATCTATCTACAGAAAGCCGAGGTGGAACGGACAGCTTACTAACTTCCACAGTTGGTTGTCTCTATACACTAAACGAAAGCTGATCCGTTCACTCAGCTACAGAGTTAACAGAATCTGCACGCCGGATATCATTGAAGACGAAGTGGACAATCTCAAGAGAATCCTCGCCTAGAATTGTTATCCAGAACGATTTATTGCAAAATCCATGAATCCTAGACCGCAAAAGTCACCCACGCTTAGCGGCCCGAAAAAACTCCCCTACATGAACCTTCGATTGAGTGGCGATTCATCTACGGAAACACTGAAAAAATCGACTATCCCGTTTACTCAAGAAAACCTTCTTCGCCTCTGAACTACCATTGACCTTCTTCACAAAAGCTACGATTCGTATGAACCTGAAGGCTAAGCTATCACTGCTGGCCTCATAAATGTGTATCTACCAATTTACTTGCTCGTGTGGAACCAGGTATGCCGCCCGTACCCAGCGTTCGCTTTCTAAACGTATCACCGAACACTTACCAGCATGGTTTTACTAAGGAGAAAATCGATGCCTCCGCAGCTCTATCTTAGAACATCTGATGGATTCTGGACACCAAGCTACACCTCAAACAAACTTCAAAGTCGTCTACAGAATACAAATCCGTTTTCCTAGAGGTGTACGAGTCAAACTTCTTGAAACTGCAGAAGCATGGCAGTTCAATGGCTAAGCCCTGAACTCTATATACAGAAGAAGTTCGTTCAATCACTACATTTGCAATGGACGTAATCTATCTTAACATCCGACAGGTAAATTCTATTTCTGTCTGTTTCTTCATTAGTATTATTTTGTCTTTTCAATTGTAATATTTTACATTTTCAACTTTCCTGTTCTCTATCCCTAGCCGATTTAATTACTACATCTCTTCACCAATGTTACTGACTTGATCAACGCTCAATTTCTATTCATTTATGTTACTTCATCCAATTTATTTGCTCAATTTTACTCCTAATTTAAATGGCATTATTCTCTTCCCCACCTCTACTTAGTCTCTACCTGTAATTACCTCTGTTGCTATCCTGACCTAAGTTGAAACATTTTAGTCATTTATATTGCGTCATCTAACTAACTAACTCAGTCTTACTTTAGTTGCTGTCTAATTAACCTTGTTTCTATAATAGATCATTCTAGTATTACCTAATTAACTACCTAAACTTGACAAACCTTATGTACACACACAAAAAAAAAACGTACTTCTATAACGGTCTTTGAGAATTAAATTGACACACACACATATATGACAATCACTTTAAATGAATAAGTTTCCTCGTAAACCAACCTATATGAGTGGATGACTCGCACAAATGCATTCAACGAAGTTCATTTCGACTGATTCAGCGCTGCCAGCCTTTCCTCCTCAGTAGAGCACCAATTCGTGAGAATTACGCTCCATATTGGTGTTACACAGACCAGGAGTCAATCCCTCACCCAATGAATACAACAGAAGACTTTGTCAGAAAATTGTTTGTCAGTATACAAAGTACCAAAAATATTTTGGGCATCAAGAATAAAAATAATACAGTCAAATGAAGACAATTAAAGAAAAGTCATACCTTGTCCTGTTAACTTTGACAACTCAGATCATATTCCTTTGGTAGATGATAATTTTGTAAGTAAGTTCTGGTGAAACATCGAGTGTTTGGTAAAATTTTAAACAAAGAAAATATAACCAGTATTAAAAATAAAAGTGGAAGTAGCACAATCCCAGTGAGAGTTAAAGCATTTTCAGTTCTGTTAGTGTTGTTGCTGATATTGTGACTATTCGCTGACGGATAACTGCTTTTGGCATGTACCGGGTGTATAGAATTATTAGAAACGTCCATGACCATGTACTCCTCACTCTCTATTAAACCTGATTCCTCTGATTGTACTTTATTCTTTTCATAAGTTTTTTGAGTATTGTAATCAAGTGGCACATAAATTATTCCGACTAGAGGTTTGCGTTTATTTTGTTTCCCTTCAAAATGGTATGATTTCAAAACTAACTTCGATGAGGAAATAGTACTACCTTTGAGGACAACTGATGAACAGATTAAGACATCACATGTTTTCTTCTGAACGCATATATGGTTTCTTTTCCGAGGTAACTGAACGTTGGACAACTCCAGTGGATAGTACATTTCACAAGGACACTGTCGGTTACGAATACAGGGTGCAATGAACCAAGTACAATTACGTTGCGTTACACTTGCAGGTATATTGGGAATATTATGAATAAGATAAGTTTTATTGACCATCCACTCTGACCACTTGGCTCGACATTCTCTATAAACGTACTTCGCATCTGTAGTACATGGTATATTAAAATATAGTGGTCCAAAACCAAAATTAAAACTGAGCAATATCATGGAAAATTCGGTTATTTTAGACATTTTATGGAACGAAATAACAGTCTATATCTGCTTTCGATACAAATATCTACCTACAGTTTTTATTTCGTTACTTATTGACTATTTTACAACTCTCTCCCTACTGACCTTGAAAACTCACCAATCGAAAGGATAATACCGTTTTCTTCTGTAAGCCATTATAGAGACAAAGGAAATACAAACCACTACCTTCTAATTAGGTGTTACAGACATAAAAGTAGACACATAGCTAAGATATGGCTGCCAACCTAAGACAGGTTGCTAGGTTATTCGCATACAGTAGAATAAACGCGTCCAAATTCTAGTTCACTCACTATCCTCTGCGTTCGAATAACTTAGACACGTATCTTATTCCGCCAAAATTCAGATAGCACTGATTTGAGTTGCAAAACTGTTGCATATATTTGTATATATACGTTACCGAGATTCCTCAGTAATAAATTCATTAATCTCCTGGACTCAATCGGTGTGTTTGGCAATCTGAATGTCATTTCCTTGGAATGATATTTCTTCTAACCAATAGTAAAGGCTGTTTTGCTTCTGCCATCTTATTCTGATAGTTTCTACTAATATACCTACCACAGACTGAAAACAATGGACAAATTCATTTTGAGTAGATGATATAGTGTTCGTGTCACAGTTGACATTACACATAGTTTTAGTTCGGTTAGGCTGTTCAGCTGTCCAAAATCAACACAAAATCTATATTTTCCGTTGAGCTTCTTTATCGATGAAACTAAAGAGCTACGCGGAGAGGTGGTTTCCTTGGTTGTTTCCTTGCTTAGCAGTTCATGAACTTGTCTTTTCACTTCTTTCTCCAAATGCAGTGGCACTTATCATGTTGAAAAGGTGATTTCCCTCTGACTCTTCAGCGGGATTTTATGTTCTAACTTATAACAAATACGGTAGGGTTCTCTGTCTGCTGTTGATAAGCTAATTTATTTCGTCATACATTTACTAATATTTGATACTTCCTTTTTAACGTCCGCTGCTACTTCTACTTGGGCTACCCCACTGTTTCCTTCGGTCAAAACTGTTCATATTTCACGTTCACTTATCTTTTTTCACATATCAGTTACTGCTCTCACGATTAGTGGCGTCCGTCAAGGATGCCCATTATCCCCATTCCTATTCAACTTCATCATAGACGTATTAGTGGACTTAACCCTAACACGCTTCAGCGACTCAGGGATTGACTTGCTACCAGGGAAGAATCTCGTTGACTTAGAATATGCGGACGATATAGTCCTTCTAGGCGAGGACTCTGACAAAATGCAGAGTCTACTGAACACCTTGAGCAACAATCTTCGTATGTTCGGCATGCGATTCGCCCCTGTAAAATGTAAGATGATGCTGCAGGATTGGACTTCACCGACCCCTAGATTAGAAATAAGAAGTGAAGTGGTAGAGCACGTTGACCGCTTCACTTACTTGGGAAGTACCATCAGCCCCAACGGGTTGATCTCAGACGAAATATCAGCACGAATACAGAGGGCTAGGTTCGCATACGCCAGTTTTCGCCGTCTCTGGCGTAGACGCGATATCCGACTATCGACCAAAGGGCATGTGTACTGCTCAACAGTCCTCTCCGTCCTCCTTTATGGCTGTGAGACATGGCCATTGAGAGCGGAAGACATGAAAAGATTATCTGTGTTCGATCATAGGTGTCCGCGTTCTATGTCCCGCGTGAAGTGGTATAATAAGGTGAGCAATATTGAGGTTAGGTGATGATCGAGTGGTAGGTAAGGCGGGGAAATCAGTCGACGAGACTGTGAAATTACATCGACTGAGATGGTTAGGACATGTGTTACGTATACCTAGTCATCGCTTTCCTCGACGGGCAATGTTAGCTGATATAGGGCCAGGATGGAAAAGAGCTAGCGGTGGTCAAACGAAAACATGGCACCGGTCAATGAAATCCACAACAGTTAGTCTAAGCCACGTAGGAAGATGTAGACTTCCTGGTTGGGGTCCTCGAGGCGGTAAAAACCAATGGTTGGAAACAATTGGTGACATGGCTCAAAATCGTTCTCAGTGGCGCAGATGCATCCACTCCTTGTGACTTATGATTTCCAATGAAACTGTTTTGTTCTCCGTTATTACTATTCCTTTGTCTCACACCTCTGTTTACTGTCTATATTATGCATTTCTTCTACTTTCTTCTCTTGCTTTGTGTGCTACATGGATTCTGGCGACTTGAACTGCCGCACATATGTGCAAAGTTCTATGTCGAAAACCGACCGACCGACTCGTGGCAAATCTTATTTCACGACAAAAGAGTAGCCCTATTTTGCATGCTGTGATATCTACAAGACTGTCTGAATATCTCCCTACTGCGTGAACAGCCAACGCACGCACCTTTATGTTCTTACACTCTTCTTTACCTATCATTACAACGTTTGCCTGTGTGTCAAATGAATAAACTATCAGTCGTCTGATAACTCAAATTCGTCCGTGCACAGTCATTCTTTCTATTTATTCAAAATTTACCGAACTGACACGAGAGAAAGAAAGAAGGTTATCCTGTTAAATCTTCTACGTTTCCTTTTCATTCATCAGGTCTACTAAACTGTTTTCATTAGAAATAAAAATGAAGTAAAATGATAGAATACTATTAAATGAAACAGCATAGAACCAGAAAGATGTAAAGTTTTTAAGTCACGTGCTTACTATGATAAAATTAGTGTCAAATAAACGACAGGGAAAGTATAGATTGTAAATCATATTTTTTTGTTTGAAGGGATTTCGACTAATTCCACTGTAGACCTTGTCATGAAATGAGACCATTTAGAGAACCATCGGTTCCAACCAAGTCGTTGAATCATAGACGGATTCATCTCGTAACTTAAAGGTCTTTGGTTCAGTCTCTTATGGTGTCACTGGCATGCAGTTTTGGGGTCGCAAAATAGGAAGAAGTGGTTATTTATTGTTCCGTGAATTCAAACTGTTGTCTAACTAGTTTCATTTGGAGATGTAACGCACGTCAAAAGTACAAATTATGTTTGTACGCAAAGGCGTGGTTTTTATAAGATATATTTCCAAGTCTTCCGCAAAAGTTTCGGAAAAAGAATCTGTGGCAAAGATAATTTTCCTCACTGACATCTTTATGTTCTAATATCTTCCTTATCAGGGTGAAAATAACATATGCTAACCAAATCGCCTGTGTCCCTTACCGGCTATTTTCTATAAGAAAAGTCTTCTGAATCTGTGAAAGTCATCAAACAATGTCTTTTATCACGCATTACTTGATACTTATTGTAAGCCAAACTGTAGGCAAACTGAATAAATAAGCACTCTGTTGGTCAGCTACTCTGTTTAATAAATTATCGGTGATTCCTTTAATTACAACTGAAGTTGATGTTTTATGGTTCTCATTTATGTACAGGCCCGCGTATTCAGGATAACCGAATGTGGTAAACATAGAATTCAAATTCGGTCTCGCCACAAACTAACTTCAATCATAAGACATTTTAACAACCATGGACCACTGGACATCTTCCTTGTTTGAGACTTTTCAGGTCTCCTCACGCATTAAAACTTTACAGATGTAGAACAGGACTTTCAGGTCACGGTGCACTAACATAACTTTCCAGTCGTCGGATTATAACTTAGTGACTCATGATTTGCAGCTCCTTGTGTGAACTGGCTGCAAGACTGAGACTGAACTCCAGTTCAGCTTTTCTACACTGATGTTCTTCCCTAGCAATCCACTGATGTTATGTTCCGGACACTAGAAACACATCAGACGAGGATCCCCAAGCGAATACGAAATAACTGTTCAGTGATTTTCGGTTTTCAATGGTCCTTCCGTTTGGGTTGTATTCCACCGTAAAATATGTAAAATGGGAACTTAACCGAGAATGAATGGGACAAAATGCCAAACATTGTTCTCATTTACTTTATGCTACTTATATTTTGCAAATAGCTTAAATCTACAACTGGAAATTCTTGATGTGTTTATATATATATGAGAATGGAGAATTATTCGTTGACTTCTGAGTTTTCAGTGATTTGCTGACTGGAGGCAGCATGTATCAAACACAAGGATATACAAAAAGCAGCATGGATTTCCCCTGACGGACACACCACAAGTCAGATAGACTTCATCTCAGTGTTGCTCAAGGAAGTGGAGACGAAGCGAGCCTGCTGGACACAAAGTTGAAAAGGGGAGCAGATAGGAGCTCACTCAGACCATCATCTAGTTCAAGGGACCTTCAAGGTGAAGCTGAAATCCCTCAAAACGAATGGAGACAGACCACTGTAGTTCAAGTTCAACAAAACTACAAGGAATGCCTTCACTACGGATCAGATCAGGACATAGTCGGATACACTATGTGGCACCACCGAGGAAACACACGTGGAAGAACATTGGAACTAACTCTCTGAAGGCGATATTCAAAGAAACATGTACACCTGTTCTAGGAAGAAATAGGAGACAACACAAGGAATGGCTCTCAGCGGATACCTGGAAGCTAATAGAACAGAGGAGAGTAAGATTCTGAAAAAGAAGACGGACCAATGTAAAGACGGACGACAGAAGGAGAAGCTGAGTTCAATGTATACTGAACTGAGTAAAGAAGTGAAGAAGAACGTTGGGAAGCACAAAAGACAATTCCGCAACACACTGGAGACTGGAGGAGAACAGACAGGTGGCAGGTAAAAGAGACCTCAGGACATTGTATCAGGTAACCAGGTCATCCAGTTAATTCCAAAGTAGCATTCTTACTGCTGCGACAGTAATTGTTTCCCAAAGCTACAATATCTGGAGGTATTTGAAACTACTTAGGAGGCAATATTGTGATATTTAAAAACCTTATAAAATGAAGTATTAATTATAGTTTATCTCAGTGTGCTGTCCAAAAGGCCTAGTGAATAATGTATTTTGTTGTACATTTCTTTAAATTCTTTAAATTCTAGAAAAGACGTGATATGTAGCACTACCTTGTGGTTTGGAGTCCTATTCTAGGTTCGCTTAGGCAGTGCATTTTAATTATAACTATTTGAATAGAAGTGATTCATATAAAGAAAATAAAACTCAGTGCATGGAGAT